CGGGAGCGAGCTAGAAAGCTCCGTCGGGAAGAAGAGCTCCGCCAGGAGCGCGACAGAAAATTTCGGGAGGAAGAAGAGCTCCGCCAGAAACAGGAGGAGGAGCAGCTGCGCCAGGAGCGCGACCGTAGGTTCCGCCGGGAACAAGAGCTCCGCGAGGAAAGGGAGGAGGAGCAGCTGCGCCGTGAGGTACAGCAGCTGCGCCAGGAGCGCGACAGAAAGTTCCGCGAAGAAGAAGAGCTTCGCCAGGAAAGAGAGGAGGAGCAGCTGCGCCGCCAGGAGCGCGACCGGAAATTCCGCCGGGAACGGGAGGAGGAGCAGCTGCGCCAGGAGCGCGACCGTAGGTTCCGCCAGGAACGGGAGGAAGAGCAGCTGCGCCAGGAGCGCGACCGAGGATTCCGGGAGGAAGAAGAGCTGCGCCAGGAGCGGGAGGAGGAGCAGCTGCGCCGCCAGGAGCGCGACCGTCAGTATCGGGCGGAGGAACAGTTTGCCAGGGAGAAGCGTCGTCAGGTGCCGGAATTGGGGCAACAAGAGCAGAGACGTCGCCAGGAGCGGGAGAGGAAACTCCGAGAAGAGCAGCTCCGCCGCCAGCAGGAGGAGGAGCAGAGGCGCCGCCAGGTCCGGGAGGGACGCGCCCAGGAGCCAGCCTCGCGCCCGTCGATCGGCGCTCCCGTGCGCTCCAGCCCCCTCTACGAGTACATCCAGGAGCAGAGAGCTCAGTACCGCGCCTGAGCGGGGCCGCCGGCATCCCTGCCAAAGCTTCCAGCCAAAGAGAATGAGAAACACTGGGTGCCAAGGAATGGCTCACGTGTTTCCGGTTGTGGGGAAACTCTCTCATGTTCGAATGCGCCTTTTCTTCCAAAATCTCGAGCTATGCTCATTTCATTACTTTGTACTCCTGCCTTTAATTCTGTCTCAGGTAGTTCTTTACTGCAAGGTGTCTTTGTTCTTGGGTGCAGGTATGGTGTACATTTTTAAAAACATGTCATTTAAATTGTTCACAGAGTTTTGTTTGAAGAACACATTGATTTGTTGCCTTTTAAAGTAACAATACAACAAGTTGAGACTCAAAATAATTGAGTATAGTTTTAATGGCTGATTACCTCTGAGTGGCTTACATGTTTTTAAGGTTGATATTTTTTTTTCTTGTGCCTAAATTTCATTAGTCTACTGCCAAATAACTTACTGGGTTTTGATCTTGATTTTGGCATAATTAATACGCATTCCACAAGTTGCCTGAATTTTTGCTACCCTCAAATAAATAAGGGAGAGGAACTTTTGGCAGAAAAACTCCCTGTGAAATCAGCACCTATAACTAAAAGAAATATCTGTTAAGAATTTAAGTGTAGAATTTGTAATTAGATTGTTTAAAAAATATATACTTAGTGCCACTTAAAACCTCAGGAAGCAAAAGCAATGTGTTGATCAAACTTCATAGCTCTAATTTTGAAACTATATCTGCTGTAGTTTGTAGTGCTCAGTTCTGTTCCCCCAATGATGAATTTGAGAGTATTGCTACTTTTGTTAATGTTAGCTTAGAGGAAACCTACTCAGGATCTTGTAAGTTTGTCTTGCTCTAGGGCCAATAGATGACAGAGAGCATGTTGGGAAAGGAAAGAGGGAAGTGTGTGAATAGAGAGGCAAATTTCTAGAGGCCCTTTGAGAAGACTTATCCCCAATCCTTTGAGGCCTGATACTACCTTGGAGACATTCTGTTGAAATAATTGGACTGTATAAAAATTTAATAAATGTTTGGCAAATACTTATTTTTGTCTGTTTTCACTCTGTTGTACTTCACTGTCCAATAACCTAGAAATGCATAAATTCCCAATCACAACAATGTTACTATCATCTGTGTACAAATATGAAAAGGGGAGAGGAAAACCACCTTTGCTCCACTTTTTCCAGTTAGAGTGAACCCTATATTATGGCTAACCCCACTGGGGTTCTCTTTGCAAGTGTGTGCTCTGTGTGTGTGTGTGGTGTTGTTGTTGTTGTTGTTCTTAACCATACAGCTTTCTGTGCCCCTTATTATAGTGACTCACTCTGGTCATGGAAAATACTGGTGCTCCCACTGTTTGTTAATATTTCCTTCTGAGAATGCAGCGGGTTCTTGGTCTCTGATGTCTGACAAGCCAATAGTAAAACATGGCATGAAACTTCAGATCAGCACTATAGATCAAAGATGACCTTTTGATTTAAGTACATAATCCATGAGACAATTGAGCCAGAAGATGCTAAACAGTAATCAGGCCAAAGTATTAAACTGCATCAACCACCTGGAATCTATATTAGTACTCATCACTGGGAAACAACATCATTTGTAATTATGAGGGTCTTGGATAAGAAGATGCCCTAAGTTATAGTCCGTCAACATTTTGGTCAGTGGTATAGACAAGGAAGCTAAGCATATAGCTCCTAAGTACCATTCTGATGGGTGGGGGGCGGGGGGGGGGGGGCACTTTCTGCAAGAAACACAGCCTGTCTCTCTTACTTTGAGGCAAATATAAGATACCCACCAAAGACAAAACCAAGGAATTCCTGACACTGTCTTAGAGTTTTGAGTCTTTCAAATGATTTATGAGTACAAAGCTATTCTTCTAAATTAAGTGTATACTCTTTCCTCAAAGTCTTCACAGAAACCATGTAAGAGCTTCACTAGCTTTCCCAATATCCTCTTAAGGAGCACTAGTTGGAGTGCTTCCTTATGAATGCCCAGCCCAGGATAATACTGAAATATGCATTAAACAGAGCCCTTCCAACTTCTTATAGCACTTTACAAGATGAGAAAGACATTTTATTACAGTTTTAATAACATAGTTTTTAAAAAACTGTAACACCCAAACCATGCCCTCTAGCTTTTCTTTTAGCACATTGGCAGGAAAACTTGGAGGACAACCCTGCTCCACCTGAATAATAAACGCGTGGGCAGGACCTTCAGACTGCTGGGCCATTACCCTCTTAACTACAAACCTGGAGCTCTCTTAACATGTTGGCTACTGCTAGGGTGTTATGTGGAGGGTTTACTATGCTGTGATGACAAGCCATCTCCCTGTGTGGTGAACAGAATTGTGCCCCTGCACCCCCACCCCAGGTTTACATGTGGAAGTCCTAACCCCCAGTAACTCAGAATGTACCCAAGTTCGTAGATACAGCATATGAAGAGGTAATTAAATGAGGTTGTTAGGTTCTATCCTGATCCAATATACCTGCTACTCTTACATTAGGAGGAAATTTGAATACAAAGGGATGATGTGAAGACAAAGGGAGAAGATGGCCACCTAAAGCCAAGGAAAAAGGCCTCCTCAGGAGAAACCAACCTGGCTGACTCCTGGATCTTAGACTTCAAGTTCCCAGAACTGTGAGAAAATAAGTTTCTCTTGTTAAAGGCACCTCCTTTGTTATGACAGGCCTGGCAAACTAATAGGTCATGTAAGGTGGTGTGGTGGTGTGGCGGTGCTAGGCACACCTAGCTGTACAGGGATGATATTTACCCTTTGCCCTTGTGCAAGCAGGTCCTGGTTGTTTAAAGACACTCTTTTATTTAACCTTCCATAGTTTCTATGGTTCAATGGAAAGAATGCTAAAAGAAAAGTTCAAAACTTGGTATTTAGTCATTCATTTATTCCTTCAAGAAATATTTACTGTGCTCCTGCTATTGCCAGACATTGCTCCAGGAAGCATCTAGGTGGTGTGAAGGTGGGGTGCTGGCCTTTCCCTGCACTGCCCGTGTGGCCTTCCTGAAGCCCTTTGGCTTTCTAGGTCTCCGTTGTTGTTTCATTTATGAAGCTGAAATAGTTATCATCAAGGTTATTCCCAGGACTGGAAAAAAAATCAATTCAATATTCAGCTTATTCAACTGAAACTCTCAAAACAATTATTGGAATAATTTTCATGCCAACTTCTAGCTTTAGCTAATAGAAACCAGAAAAAAAAAAAAAGAATTAACTGACAAAATGATCATCAGAGCCAAATTCAGCTTCAAAGCTCTTACCTTTCTAGCCAACCATCCCTGCACTTCTCTCCACCTGTCTCCTAAAATCCTTCCCAGATCTCTTTTTATTGTCCCAGGTTTATTCATTGATGGAGAAGACCCTAAGCCCACTCCACTTTCTTGGACCCCAGTAGTATCAAACGTCAATGCCCTTCTGATTTATGAGCTTCACATATGAATTTGATTCTTCTCATGCTTTTCTAAGGAGAAAAGTAAGTCCTAGAATTTAATCCCGCTCATGCTAAAATTCAGTGATCATTAGTGTTAAATATGATTCTCTCTCTGCTCCATCTTCTGTACTAATTACATATTGCTAACATTTGCATTCAGTCATGATAATTATGAGTGTTTTTTCAGCAAGTGTACTTGGGGCTGTAATCTGAAGATTATAATCTGTGCAATATGTAATAAGCATATTTCCCTTGTTAAAGAGATGACAGTCACATGCAATAATCAGAAACTAAACCAAAAGATAGATTTATGAGTAGGCTACCGTTTTCTGAACACTCAGAACAGCTATGGCAAGCTCTCAACAGAAACTTCTAGAAATTGATTTGTCACTTCTCCTCTTTCAAAAAAGGGCATGACATTTTCTACAAGATGAAGTTCAACATCTTCAGTTTGGAATTTAAGAGCCTCTACAATCTAGTGTCAATTTACCTTCTAAACCTTGGATCCCAGGATACCTCTGGAGCCAACCATGTGCTCAAAGCAGACTGGTTGATTTATTGTCATTAGGACATCTTATGAATGTCCTATTTCAAAGACTGATTGGTATAATTTTATCTATTTGGAATGCCTTCTCTCTTTCCGTCAACTGAGGCATTTCTGCTCAGTTTATAAGGCCCAGGTTGAATACCACATCCTCCCTAAAATCTTTCCTAATCACCCTGATGTACAATGATATCTCTCATTGAGATCCTAGGACATCTATTATCTTTACCAATCATTAATTGATTACAATTTTCTGCCTTATTTGACTTTGTACTGGCTTCAGTCTTTGCAATTACACCACAAACTCTTTGAAAACAGAAACTACAACTTGGACGTTTTATATTTTCTTTCCATGATGAACAATAAGAAACATAGCTCTATGAATAAAAAAAAATGAAAAAATTTACCTAGGATTTCTAAAGTTCTTAGTTACAATGAAGCCCTCCTAACTTTACCCTACTGGCTCAAGGAGTTTTGAAAATTACATGCATACTGTAAGTATTCAATAGATGTGTGTGAAATGAATGAATTAATGTAGGCTGTACGTTTGTTTTCTGTTCAGGGCCTCTACTGCCAATCTATGAAACATGGTATTCTGCTCTGCTGAATGTTAAAACCCTAAATCCTTTTTTATATTTCAGCCTCAGACATTATAGAATATTTGTGATTTCTTCTCCTTCCACCTATTTGGGTTTTTCCTGAATATTGCAGTCAACTCTGGTCTTAGCACCTGTCAGCACCCCTTGGTGAACTAAGAAGCTGGGATAGGAGCTGGGCATTGTTGTGCATGCCTATAATCCCAGTGATTTGAGAGGCTGAGGGAGAAGAATTGCAAGTTTGAGGTCAACCTCAGCAACTTAGCAAGACTTTGTCTCAGATTTTAAAAGGGGAATGGGAGATGGGGGTTGTAGCTTGGTGCTAAAATACCCTGGGTTCAACCCCTAGTACAAAAAAAAAAAAAAATTCCAGGGGTGGGTCAAGAGAAAGATGAATTCTGGTCCACGTATTATTGTGAGGGGGTAAATGCAGTGAGAAGCAGAAGTGAGATTTCAATACCAGACAGGCTGGTTTTCTCATATGCATTTGAATTTAAATACAGCACACTTATTAAAGGCCTACATTATGCATCTAATTCTCACAACTCCTTCAGCCAGGTTTCTTAGCATGAAGTTAAGAAGGCTTCAATGTATCCATGAGGAGAATCTGGTATATATGAGTCAATTTTATTCCTCTATTAGCATTATTTTGACCCTATTTCTTTTTTTGGTGGTGGTGCTGGGGATTGAACCCAGGGCCTTATGCATGCAAGGCAAGCACTCTACCAACTGCGCTATATCCCCAGCCCTTGACCCTATTTCTTATGAAGTAATGACCCTGCTGATATGCCAAGAGTTTCTGGGCCTCTCTTTCCCCTGGAGAACCATATTAATGTCCTCACATTAGCTTTAATATGTGAACCACAGCCAAGTCAATCCCCAGGTCTCAAACCTGACCATGTGGGGAGGCGGGTGAGTAAAAGTAGGAGAAGGAGACAAGTTTCACACTTTGAAGAAGCATTGAGTTTATAAGAAAAGAAACATCTTGGGGGCTGGGGTTGTGGCTTAGAGGTAGAGCGCTCACCTAGCATTCGTGGGGCGCTGGGTTCGATCCTCAGCACCACAGAAATATAAAATAAAGATATTGTGTCCACCTATAACTAAAAAATAAATATTAAAAGAAAAGAAACATCTCTGTTTAGCAGGGTCATCAAAGATTTCTCCTGTGGAAACTGATATTTAAACTATAATCAAAGAATAACTAAGAAGTTCACTTGGTGAAGAGGGGGGGAAAAAGATCTTTCTAGGCAAAGTGAAATCATCATTAAAGGCAGGAGGCAAGAGAAAATATAGTGGATTCAAGAAAATTAAAATTAGATTTGACTAGAGCCTAAAATAAATGGCAAGAGATGAGAATAGAAGGTTTGGAAAAGTATTGCATGCCCTATTAAGCTTATCTTGAGGGTGATAAAGAATCACTGTGGGGCTGGGCTGTAGCTCAGTGGCAGAGCGCTTGTCTAGCA